AGATTCACTCTAGCTAACTTTTAGCTAAGTCATAACTTAACATTAATTTTTTTTCTCCTTTATCCCCATATGCCTGTTTTCCTCTCTTTTCATTTGTGGACTTCATTTTTTTACTTATGTGAAATATCATTATATTATTATAAAAATGTCAAAATCAAGCATAAAATAATAAAATATTTGTAAAAGGGTACAAAAAAGCACAAATTAAAGTTAAACTAATTTTATATAGTAAAATATAGATAGTAGGTAAATGGAACTACAACAAAACACTGATGATAAAAAAATTATTTTTAACATATTAAAGTATTTTTTTCTCTTCTTATTTTTCTTTTATATTGATAATGTGATAAGGTTTTTTTTAATATTATTTAGAATTTTTAATAATATATATTTTATATAAAATAATATTGTAGAGATGTAACCTAACAAACTTGTAGAAATGTAATATAACAAAATCTACAATTAAAAAAAAAAAAAAACTAGCATCAATTTTAAAATTATTAAAAAAGTTAAAAGTATATATAAAAATAGCATGTTGTTGGTCCTATTTTGTATTTTCATATCTTATCTTATGTCTTATAAACTTTAGGGAAATTAAATTAGTATTTAATTTAAGTTAGTCAAAAACAAATATCATTAGTAAGAAAAAGTTAATTTTAAAAGAAATATCAAAAATTAAATAAAGTTATATACTTTTAATATTGTTAATGAAAAAGAAAATCTTACATTTTCTACCTATAAAAATTATTTAACTCAATTATATAATATTATTTTCATTTGAAAAATGACAATATTATGTTTGTGTTTATTTGATATTTAAATTTTTGATGTATTTAATATTATAAGTTTTTGTTATATTTATGTTAATTTGTATTTAAACTTTTTATACATTTGATATTGTAAGAAATATTTCAAATTCTTTTATTAAAAGTCTGTTTTATTTTTAGAAACATTACTTTTATATTAAATAAAAAATTTTATATAAATATATTATATAATAAATTTGCCCCTACCGAAGAAAAATTCTAGATGCATCCTTGAAAACGTCATTTGGAGTGGGCAGAAAGGCAAGTCAGAAGTCGTATTTCAGTGGCCTTAGAAAGGAAGAATTTTCCTCCTACAAATTAAGTTATCCTTTTCATAAGCCAAAATCCCAAAAGAAGAATATACTCTTCCTGTCCAGGTGGGAATGGGATGACTCAGTTTTCTTCTTTCATCATCTAATCTTTTCTACGAAACTCATAACCGCATATAAGAAAAAAAAGGAAAAAAAAAAAGGAAAATATATATGCCTTTCCTTTCCTTTCTTAAGTACTAATCTAATCTAATGTTATTTTCAATCACAAAGCAGTGCCCACTCCATTGAGCGACCAGGCAACCGACCAATGGATGTAGTGGACAGACAAAGCATATAAACCAAAACACACCATTCGTTTCAGTGTAATGACTAACGTGCCCTTCTTCCCCCTTCCACCCCTCTTTTTTTTTTTTTTAGTTTTCCATTCCAAAAATCGGTTTGTCACTTTGTTTAATATTTTTCAACTTTTTTCCATCTATCGGGGACCAAAAAAAATTTAAGGAAAGGAGGATTCAAGAGTTAACTTTCAATTTCAACAATAAAAGCATTTATTAAAGATGTTCTAATTCAATGCCAAACTGTGAAACTTTAACCAACTGATTTTGAGTTTTTATGGGAGTTTGCACTGGATTGCCTTGGTAGGACTTGGGACCTGTACTCACACTTAAGCCTCAACTGTTTTTGAGATTTGAAGTTTAAAGCCTTTTGTCACTGGAGGAGGCTATAAATGTAATTAGAGAACTAGAAAGCCAAAATCAGAGTTAGTTGATTTAGGAAACGAGAAGAATCTCTCCAAGAAATATAAGACACAAGGAGAAAGCAAAGATTAAAAGCAACCTTCATTAACACCATCATCTCTTATACACATCATATTTCATAAATGATACATTTCCTAAGGAAGGGAGATAATCCATATATTGTTTATCCTTTAGCCAAGAAGGCAATGGATATCCAAAAAAAGCTGATCCAATACCGATATCAGTTCACCATAGCAATCCTTGTCTCGTTGATCATCGCCTATTTATCATATGTAGCCCCTCGTTTGCTCACGATTCTAACCTACTTTTGGCCTCTTTTCGCTTCTGCAACTGTATTCTTGGTGGCAATAATCGCTTTTGGCGGTCTTTCACAATTGCCAACAGAATCTCATGGTGAAAAGGCGGGTAAAAGACTGCTGGACTACGTTACAGCCTCGCCAGAGATTACAGATCAGGAGCCTCAGAAATTAATTGAGTGAACAAAGATAGGATCGGCCCTGGTTCTCGTTTACATTGAGCATTGAGATAGAATTCCTTTAACTAGTTCACTGCATAGACAAAAGCTTAATCTTCTCACTTCTCTTTCAAAAAGTCGCTGGAAATTGTATGTTCCGGAATAATGATGGTACATGCAGTTGGCTTCTCTGTATACGTGTTCTTTGGCACTTAGTTCTACCAACTTCTAATTTTCAATTAAATATAAAAAATAAAGTCTTCTACTCATCATTATTCCGATCTACTCTTTTCTTTTTTCTTAAAACAAAATAATTCCAGTGACGTGGCAGGAAATTCGAGTGGTGATAGATTCTTCAATTAATTTGTTCATCCATGGAACTGTTTAATTTAGGAGTTGAATTTAATAGATCCCGTACGGTTGGAGTAGCATGCATTATGCGAAATGCAGTAATTAGTTCTTAGTCTAATGGTTAAGGAACTCTTAGGAGGGCATAGAGATTTTGATTTCGAATCAAAGCTTCTTCCCCTTCTCTCATAGCTATGCCCATCCTATGTACAAAAAAAAAAAAAAAAAACCGTATATTTCAGTCATTCTGATTCCATTTCAGTTTGATGCAGGCCACTTCAAATTTGCATAACCTGTACACTTCCAATCCTTTCTTTAATCTCCTTTAACAGTTGACCTGCGTGCCTACACCTCTTTTTGCTTTTATCTATCTGCAAATGCAATTCCACCATTTGATGTAAAAGCTCCATGCTTAACTCCCGTTTGGCATTTGCACTGTTAATTAAGCAAGAAAATTGTTTTGACAAGGGTTTTTTTTTAATGAATTAGCATACCCTTAAAATGGTTTAGGCTAAGTATAAAATTCATACCTATCAAAAGTATATTTGTTTATGTTTAATTCTCTCCCTCCCAAGGCAAACATAGATATCTGCACAATATTATTGAGATACAATTTCAACAAGTTAAAAATAAATAATTAAATTTATCAATTTGTTTGAGATGGGGAATTAATGAAGCAATTACTTAAATTAAATACAAATTTAAATATTGAGATATTCTTTCAACTAAAAATTTTGATTAAAAAAATAATGTTAATTAATAAAATAAGAAAGCATCTTAACTAAAATAAGTTGTTAATATCTTTTTGTTAGATTATTCAATCAAGAAGACAAGAAAGAAAATTTTATAGGTTGAGTATTTCAACCAATAAAAAATGCTTTGTAGGATAAGTTTTTCAACTAAAAAAGCTTAATGGCTTGAGCTTGCAACCAAGTAAGTTTCATGGATTGAGTTTCCAATCAATGAAACAAGCTTTATAGATTGAGTTTTCAACTATAAAAAAAAAAAAAAAAAAGTAAAGGCTGTTCACTTATGGCTCAACTTAAACCTAAAATTTTTTTAAGTATCCTAGTTTGTAGGTTGTCAAACCTGGAAGTTTAAAAGAATATCTTCCTTTGAATTTCTTAAGTTGTTAGACTTGATAATCTAAGCCTTTCTCAAATTAACAATATAGTAATATTAAAAGTCTTAGCCTTTAAGAAATTCTCAATTTTGATTAAGTTGTACAAGTAATAAGCTTCAAAGGCTCGTTTCTTCAATAGTTTAATCTTAGCCAAAGTTGAAAGTAAAAGTAAAAGGACATTTTCCGTGTCTTAGAAAGCATATTTCACAAAAAAAGGGCTAAGAATTCAGCATTGCAGGAGTTGTCCAAGGAAAGTTACGAATAATGTTATCCTCGGTGTTACAAGTTTAATGATCATACAAGGAATAAAAGAAAAGTTAGACTGAAAATTATGATTAATTTAGTTAGTTCATATAATTATTTTTTAAAAATGACAATTAATATGTCTTTCAATACCTCCACTCTTTTTTTTTTCTTATTTTTAAGCTGTAATCTCCTATATGCACAAAAGAAAAAAAAAATATCTAAGGCAACGCTTAGCTAACCAAAAAGCCAAGTTGAGTTTTTCAAGCATTAGCACTCATATTCTTAGTTGGATGTCAAGATAGTTAACACCTTTTCTTCTTCTTGTGTCACCTATCCAGTAAAAATTTTTCTTTCAAACTTTTTTATTTTTCAAATTTTAGAGATATCCATGAACACCCTAAATGAAAGGATGGATCCACCCGTGGGTTCCAGAAACTAGACATCAAGCATTTACATTCATTTACGCTTTTCAAGAATTTTTTTTAGTGTTCTTAGCTTTTGTTTAATTCTTAGTTTTCATAGTTACAACCTTCAAATTTGTTATTTCTCATCCATGCTATAGTTATCAGAGGTGAGAATCCTTGGGTCATTTGATCAAGATCAAATTGCTAAGCTTGTATCAAGAATTTATCTCAACAAATAGACAGTTAAAGTAAACTCATGCAGACAAATTTCCTGTTTACTACCAACATTTTTAATCTATTAGCTAGCTAGGTCACACAACGAGAGGCAATCTTCTTTGTATCCCAGGCCAACCTCCAACTTCATCTAGGAAGGAGATGTCGCTAAACTTGAATCCGAACAGGATAGATTCCTCAACTATATATATTGCTCCTTCCTAGATGAACTTTATCTAAAAGCAAATACAAATAGTCTATCCACAACTATCTATATTGCTCCTTAATATGTAGCTATAAAAGTGCATTTGCGATTGAAACAACTGTATCATGTTAAAGAATATTCCCTCTCTGTAGCTCGTGGAATCCTTGACCATTACGTCGATGGTTACTGCACTATCTAATTACTGAAGGGTTGAGTCATCGGTTTTATCAAATTGCTGCTCTAGATGATTAGGACGAAATCAGATCTGCTGCAGTCAAAGTTCCCGAGTGATCAACATCAAGCATTTTGAACCTCTCCATTAATAGCAAAATGTCTTCCTGGCCAATCTTTCCCATTTCCTTCAGCTGATATAAGATGAACTCTGATGCACTGTGGTAGAGGGAATTGACAAGAATAAGCATCGTATGAAAGTTGAGCCTAGCTTATTTCAGTCAAAAATAGAAAATGTAGTGTTTTAAAGCATACAAAAATCAATGTGTAGGATTAGAACTTTTATGATGCAAACCAGCATTACCTGACCACCTCATCATGATCCAGATCTGCTGCCTCAAGGTCTGATGATGTTAGTTTTCTAGTAAGAACCCATTTAACCAATGATTTTTGCCTTCTCTCAGTGTATAGCTCTGCTAGATAGAGAAAGAACTGAGCTAAGCAAACCGTACTGCCCAGTATCCAGAAAATAGCAAATAGGCGTCCCACTCCTGTTGAGAAGCTCTCATCCCCATAACCAAGGGTAGTGATTGTGGAACAAACAAAATAAAAGGCATCAATGAATTCCATTTCTTCAACCAGCAGTAAGAAGCTGATTCCCGCAATTATAAGCACCAAAAGTAGCAGTGAATTCATGAGAAATTTATATTTGACTTTGTTGGTTTCAACCTCCATAAGTATCTCAGCTTCATTAAACTTTTTATTCATATGCATGGCTTTAACAAAGAAAATTTCCTGCTTTTCAACAATGTAATCTGCTGCCTTACTTAGAATTAGACCAACAAGAGCCATGCCAGTGAAGACATAAATGCAGGCAAGTATCTTTGCTAACGAGCTATGGGGTACAAGGTCCCCGTATCCGACAGTGGTCATTGTCACAACACAGAAGTAAATTGCATCAAGAATCCCATTGGTTTTCTTACCATCAATCTGATTCCTGATGAGGAAGAACCAAAGGGTGCCTATACCTAGATAAGAAGTCAACAAAAATAGCACATACTTGAACCTAAACTCTTGTGCCACAAGTGCTGACTCAAGGTTTGCAAGAAACAGGACCCTCTGTTGCTCTTGAGAGCCATTCTCTGAAGGAGCCCTTAAGCGGGGCTGAGGCTTTCTTCTGTGATTGGCCTTTGTCTCATTGAGATTTAGTGAAGAATCATTCGTAGGCGAAAGCAAAGACTGCCTAACATCTTCATGAGCCATCAGAATCTTAAGCAGAGTTGCATAGATCTCCACTTGTCCTGCAGAATGTAAATTGTGAAGAGTTAATTTGCACTAACAAGGGGGTAAATTGTGCCTGAACTTTGAATCAGTCATTAACTATAATATTTTAGCTAGTAATTTTTACGCTATTAGATGGATAAATAATCACTTTCACTAACTGCTGAACAAAACCAAACTAAATGTCGAAAAAGTTAAGCTAGTTCCTACATGTTGCGGACAGCATTGCAAGATAAATTTTCAGCATTTGCCGCTTCAGACACTTGCTAAGAATCTATGCTACACAACTTGGCATTTTTATTTCTGCAGTCACATGTTCAACATGGAAGCTCTGAATTAACAAATTGAACAGAAATTTTGGATTCTGATACATCGACCAGTCTATTATGCAAGGCTGATAAAAAGCATGGTGAAGGATTCAATCAAGAATTCTAGTGAAAATTTACCAAAAAACAAAAGAATTCTAGTGAAAACAGCAAAAATATATATTATATACAAAATAAATTCCTATGCTTGGGATCTCTGGTCAATAAAGTGGTGCCATGCAAGGTAGATGAAAAGAAGTTAACCATGCCAATGAACATATAAAACCAAATAAAGGATGGTGAAAAATGAAGAATTCGTTTTTGGTACCTAATAAAGCTATAACTTGTACAGTTTGATTTTAAGAGGAAAAGGTGATGTTACAAGTTATAACATGGAAAAAGAAACCCATACAAGATCCAGAAAGATAGGAGCAGTATGAACAGTCTACGTTTAGAACAGGAGAAAAAACAGGAAAATGGTTCAAAGGGATTAGTTTCTCTTGGACTAAACTCTGATTTGATTGAATGGACAATAACAAAAGAGTTGGAATAAGTCAGAGTAGTGTTCCAAGAAGAATCTTAAAATTGTCATGACAATGAGCTACTATATTAAACTTTACAATTAATCTTTGTAAATAAAATTTATCCTACTCCTCCTAGGTTTTAGGGTTAGACAAAATTCATTAGTAAGTGTAAACATTCTATTTCGTCCGAGGCTTTAAATTGAATGATCAAAATATTTAGGTTGTTGAGGTTGGAGTCATTTGGATTATCGGACCTTTGAAATGTTTATTGAATTTTTTGGATTTCAAATGAATTTATCCAATTAGTATTTGAGTTTTAAAACCTAATGGATAGTTTTGATTGTGCATGGGCTACGAGCCTAGTAGATGATTTAGCCGATTTTTATGTGTACTCGAGCTTTGGCCCAATAATAGGGTTACCAATGAGCTTTGTTTTATTTTATAAACACAAAAGAAAAAAAAAAAAGAAAAGGAAAGAAAATCAAATAAAAAAATTTCTTAGAAATCCCATGCAAGAATCATGAATTTGGTAATAATGGCATAATGGATTTTGAGATTTTTATTCTTAATTTGCATGAAATAGGAAAGTCATAGGAAATTGGATAATAATCAAATCACATAATATCAAAGCTGAATTGATTTTTTTCCCAGATTAAAGGAGTTGAGCCCTTTTTATATAAATGGGTTCTAACACAAA